TTCTAATTGAAGAATTTTTATAAAGAAGATCGTCAAAAATGGCTCCGCTGAGGGATCAACTAGTACTCATTCAAGGGCTTGTAAAATGAGTTGTGTATCGCCAATCGGGAAACTTTTAATAGATAAATACAGCCAAGATTAAGGGCTTCAATATGTTATCTAACATTTAACACATTAGGATTGAAATTGGCGCCTGGGAGCTAGAAGAATAATAGCTAATAGAAAGCTTCCAAAAAGAAGTCGCCGTAAATATTGAATACCTTGTAAATAAAGCCTGTGTTGGTCCTTAAATGCAAATTTTGAATAGCTAAGATCGAAAAGTGTTAATTTTCATTTGAAATGATTTCTAGCTTTTTCTGTACCTCTTGTGTAATCCTGAGCGTCTCATTCTCTTCAGCGCTCATCGTCGAGGCTGGGGTGATCGATTGGCCCATCGTTGAATATTCTCTGAACTTTTGAACTTGAAACAATGACAGTGAGTTGATGATTTTATTGATCAATCTAAAACTACCTGGCCTCTCTTTGAAGATCCTTGCTATCTAAGCCTCTTTCTGGTAAAAACTTGTAGAACTCGCGGAGCTAAAAACTCATAGATAGTTTAATAAATAATAAAAGATAAAAAGACTCAACTTAATAAGTTTTTACACTTACAAAATCATCCTTATGAATCTCTTCTTCGAAATGCGCTCTTGCTAGACCGATAATTTGTTTGAATTTTGGTCGAACCCATGGCAGTGAACGAACTGTTGAATGAGTGGATCGAAGTAAACGATCGGCGATTGAGTGTTCGGATGAGAGAATCTTTCTGAACGTTTTTCATACATTTTAATCTTTAATCAATACAATTTACTATTTACAGTTTGGGGTGCGACCCGCTTTAACATTATCAACGAGGATGATTCTGCTTAAGAATGACCGAATAGCACAAAAGGTTAAAAGGGTTTCCCCCAAAAGCGCTTACAACGTAACAAGAACACGTAGCATCCAACAATAGATTAATACTCTTGAGAAGAGTACAGATCGGATTGATACTACGTCGATGGTGACACAAATGTTAGTAAAACCAGTCTCTTTACAATGTTAAACCAGTTATCTAAACAGGATTTAAAACCTGAAGGGTAGCATAAAGTAAAGTGAATTTATAACGTTACTGTTTATTAGTACAGAACCGAAATGCAACAATACCTATTACAAAAACAGCATGCGCATCAAAAATGAAACAACAAAGTCCCCCCAGAAAAAGGCAAAAAAAACCCGCAGACCAAAAAAAAATAATTTCGGGAAGGGAGAAAAAGGACGAAAAATGCGACGCGAATAATTGCAAAATAGCAACGCAAATAGGAAGGAAACGGACGCGACCTTACATTTGCTAAGTAAATAAATTTCTGGTACAGTTTTTTTTAAATCTTATTCTTTTTCTTTGAGTTATATCGTCACCCACTTGAAGCCAGACTAACTTTAACTTGAAATATGAGAAACTGGCATTTTGCATAGACTGGCATTTTTTGAATTCCAGTCGATCCAACTTGGAATTTGTTGCAATCAGTTGTTTTGTTTTGTTGCAAATTACGAAATCAAAGAGACTTTGTGTAAATGCTATTAAAACTGCCATTAAAGCACTTCTTACTAATCTGACTTGTTTCCTGAGTAATTGAATAGCTTATGAAATTAATTTTAAACTATTTTAATAGTTTTGTTTTTGATAAACCTTTGAACTTCTTATTCGGCAAATTTTAAACTAACCTGAGCCATGAAACGAAAAAAAATCAGCGAGAATGTGTAGCAAACGACTTGCCAAGACTCAAGGTGACCAGTTGTGCGGTTGAATTTCTCCCTAGAAATTAGATAATTTAAACAAAATAGAATATCATCTAGTAAGACTTTATAAATGTAAAAATTAGTTATAATTGGACTTTGGTACCTCCAAATGTCAAGCGCTTCTTCAAAATCATAAAAATAGGCATAGAAAATTGATATATCTGAGCGAGTTGTCATGGTTTGAAAAAAAGTTCAATAATTTGAGACAAATCTTTGAAATAACTAATGATATTCAGTGAAGAAATGGGTGAATTTTGTTGGGAAAAGGGGAAAACCGAAAAACAAGCCAGCCAGCCGCGTAAACAACTCTGTTATTTTTCGAAAAGCGCCAAAGAGGTGTAGAGAACGAAAACACGTCGGAAAGATGGATTTAAAGCTAGAACTTATAAAGGTACATACTTTAGAATGCAATCTTTGACGAGTTTAACTCTAAAAATGTGGAAGGTTTTAAAGTTTGTAGTTTGTAGGTATACTGAATGGTATACTGAATGGTATACTGAATGGTATACTGAATTCTTAGCTTAAAGCTTTTTTGACTTCAGAGCCTGAAAGTTTACACTTTTCTAGGTACTTGTTGATTACTTTTTCAATTTTGCATCCATTTTCCATCCCAGAAAAACTCAAATATTGTAAGCATAAAACATGGGCGTAGTGGTTACCGTCCGTCTACAAAACGCTTGCCCCAAAGGGGTGTCGAGTTCGATTCCCATCCATTCCAAACTTTGTTACTTTAAATGCTTTCAGGAGTGGAGTTGAAGCAGGCAAAAATTTGAGATGTTGCTTTAACTCGAGAGATCGAACTATGCGTTAGCACCAAAACATCCAGTCACCAAAAAAAGCCCGCCGTTAGGCTCGTTAGGCGCTGTTTTGGTCTGACTTTGGCATTGAAATAATGGTAAATTTCATATGGAATATTGAGTTCTTTATTCTTTCCTTATTTCTATGAAATTCACTGAAATCCCAGTGAGTCAGTGACGAAACTCTTTTACTTCACTGAAATCCCAGTGACGTTTCCTATGGAATAACCTATGGAACCCTAGTGAATTCACTGAGGATTCATTGAATTTCGTGCCATTAAAATAAAAGTGAATTTCCAGTGAATTCACCGATAAACCCAGTGAATTACTGTGACCGATTCCAATAGGAAAGCCTCTTATGCCGAATCGGTTTGCCACGTCGCGAGTGATTACGTAGCCGCACAAAGAACACTTCGCACAAAGAACATTTTCAGTGATATACACAGTGATTTTTCTTTTGCTTTGTAGATGGCCCAAAAAAGATATTCAGTTGTAAATTTGTACCCAGGGGCTTTCGGTGACAGGGAATCGATTGAAGCTATTCATTTTATCGATTCTATCAATTAGAATTTGGATTTAATTAATCTAAGCTTTTAGATAAATTTATTCAAAAATTTTCCTTTAACACTTTACTATCCGCGATAAATTGGTTTTATTGAGAATCGGTCTAATTCGATCTTTCCTTTAAGCTAATAGTTTGACTTTCTATCAGCTTCACTGAGTTCTCAGCGATTTCAAATTCTTGTTAGAAACGATGGAGTTTTAGAATTCTTCGCTAACATTGTGTTCATTTATAAGCGCTTTTTGAAGCAAAGGACAATCAGCACGAGCGGCGGCTAAAAGGCGCTGAAACTACCGTATTCTTTGCCAGCCGGAAGAGACTTTTCTCTTTGATGCCATGCAATTGCGTTCGAAAAAGGGAAAGGGGTGGGAAGAGGGGAGAGGTCGTCCCTTTCCCCATCGTCCTCTCCTCAATCTCGCACTTCATTGACATACTTCCTTAAAATCGTCGTCCATCTCCTCGTGGCATCACACTGTCATTTTTCTCCTTCATTTTCCTGCTTTATTTTTTCGATTTTTTGATTGTAAAACATTGTCTGCAGTGATTCATCGTATTTTTTGTACTTTTGATATGACTGAGCAACGATTTTGTTTAGAATTTTCTTTTCTTTTCAACGATTTTGTTTAGAATTCTGATTTCTTTTCAACAATTTTGATTTCTTAATGTTTAGGAAACTTTTCTACTGCTATCAGGATGCTTTTTTTGTTTTAACCAAGCTTGCAAGAGGGCTAGACCAGGGCTAGACCAAAATCCAGATCTTAACCTGCCTTTACTGCAAGCTTGGTTCAAAAAAAGCTTTGAATTTGGCTTCTGTGGGTTTTACCCTTGCCTTGCTTACAGTCTAGTATCGAACTTTTCAAATGGTTTTGAAAATTGGGCAAATGTTTGCTCAAGCGAGTTTAAACACTAGATTAAATCTTGATATACTTTTCGGTACCATTTGCTCTGATTTAAATGCAAATGTTTGATAAACTTAATTAGAAAGTTCACTGTACCGTCGTTAGTAATCAACGTAATCAATGCGAACTTTAGACAAATGTAAATTGAAAAGGACAAATGGTCAAATGGACAACTTCTGTTGACCAAAGCTAAGGTTTCGTTTAACAGGCTTTAAACTGCTTTTTTGATAAAGCAAAGAATGCTGTTGAATCAAAACACGCAAAAAGCTATTAAGTTTCCAAAAAATGATAGCATTTGTTTCTTGTTTTCGCGTGTGATGTGGCAAAGAATGAAAGAAAAGGCAATGATCCACGTGCGGGAAAAAGAGAAGGAAATTCTCGATTTACACGTAATTTGCTTTTCTCGGAAAGTCAACAAAGTGGCAAAATGAATCTTTACCCATTCATCAATGGTTAGAAAAGGCTCTCTTCTGTCTTATTCTAGATGAAGGCAAATCGTTTACAGGCAATTTGTGGCACAGAGTTGTTAATTTCACGAATCAGTGATGTCAGCTAAAAGTTTTACAGGTTTTACAAGCAGTTTATTCATTCTTACAACTTCTAGTAGAATTCCTAATGAATCAAAAGTTCAGTCAAATCAAAAGTCAAATGAATCATCATCAAAAAGCCGAATTTTTCCATTTTCTGAAGACATTTCTTATCTTTTCTCTAATGTCAGTGTTTTTATCTCTTTTTTTGGAACAAACGGCTCAGCTTTTTCTCTTCTTCTCTCTTTTTGTCTTGGAGCCAACTGAGCTCTCAGTTTTAGCTCTTTTTTTTTGTTCTGAAACTTTTAGATATGAAAATAATATGATGATTTATTTTTATGTAAAAAAACAGCTTATAACCTCAATTTTCTTAATTTCCAGAATTCTGGCTCATTGAATGACCTATAGAACGGAGACGGCGAGCGATGTGTTGAGGTAAAGAAAGAAATTTTTTTTTTAGAAAAAACTGTTTGAAATCTTGACTATTACCGTATTTTCTCTAATAGTAGTGCACCCTGGCGAGCTGAGTTGGTCACTATTTTTACGGTTTCCAAGCTTTTTTGCAGAAGCTCAACACTCTAATCCCCCACTAGATCTCATCCTCAGCTACATCCGACCCCACATCGATAGGTTCTGATAAGCGCTTTTCGAGATTTCGCTCTGGGTGCACTACTATTAGGAGAATACGGTACTTTGAATTTTCCTACAGACGATCTTAAAAATGTAAACACACTCTTTCTAGGGCACGTACAGTGCGTTTCAAATTCTTAAACGCACCCTCTAAAAATAGCGAATTTTGCATTTAAACCACCGCTACAACTATTAGTCTTTTTCTATTAGAAAGAGCATGTCTTAAAACCTAAATAACAGGAAAAATAAGCACGCTGTAAAAATAAAAATTTTCAAAATAGAAACTTTTGGTAAATCAACCGTTTCAAATTCTTAAACGCACCCGCCTTTGCTGTTGTTATTTGAAATTTTTCGTTTTGTTGTGCATATTTTTTTATTAAATTTATAATTTTTGTTAATTTCCAGGTAAATGGCACACGGAAAGCTGCTTACGGATTATGATAAAGGCCAGATTGATGCCCATTTGAGGATTGGCGACTCAATAAGGAAAATCACGAAAATTTGGGCCGATCCGACTCTGCCGTGCGAAATTATAGAAAGTCCGAGTTCGTTTCTGCACCAAAAGAAGAAGCCAGGACCAAAGCTTACGCCGCGAGCTAGACGCATATTGTGAACAAAATCCACGGAAAAACGATCAATGAAGTGAAAACGGAACTGAAAATCGACGCTTCGAAGTCGACAATTTGGCGAGCCGTCACGGAAAATTCACATATCGATCGACAATTATTGAACATGCAACCGGCCGTGAAGCTTTTGCACAAGAAAGCCCGATTGGAGTTCGCCAAGGCTCATATGAATCAGGATTGGTCTATGGTTAGAAAGCCGCTTATGTTTTATTATTTTTTTTGCGTTTAGGTGATCTTTTTCCAATGAGAAGAAATGGAATTGGGATGGTCCCAATGGCGTTGACTACTATTGGAGGGATCTTCGACGTGATCCGATGGTGTTTGGAACTCAAAACTTTGACGGTGGTTCTGTGATGGTTTGGGCCGCCTTTTGTGCTGATGGAACGGTCGCTCTGAAGATGGTTTCGAATCGGATGACTAGATAGATATCTTGAGCAATTGCTTGTCGCCGTTTTTGCTCCTAAATCCAACCATTCCGGACTTGTTTCAATACGACAACGCGTCAATTCATCGAGCCGGAGACACCCGAGGCTGGCTGAACAGCAACAACATTGCAACTTTGGACTGGCCCGCTCAGTCTCCTGACCTCAATCCGATAGAAAATTTATGGGAAATACTTGTCCGAGATGTCTACAAGAATCATCGTCAGTTTCAAGACGTTTCTACACTTAAAGCAGCAATTTTTTTCGGTCTGGAGCTATCTCGATGTCTCTGCTCCCCAAAACCTCATCAATTCAATGCCAGACCGCATTTTCAAGTAATTAATCGTTCTGGTGCCTGTACAGATTATTAGTTTTGATTTTTACCTTTTGATTTTTAATTTGTGTCGAGAAATCAACATATTTTCATAGTGCGTTTAAGAATTTGAAACGGTTGATTTACCAAAAGTTTCTATTTTGAAAATTTTTATTTTTTACAGTATGCTTATTTTTTGTGCTTTTTAGGTTTTAAGACATGCTCTTTCTGATAGAAAAAAATTAATAGTTGTAGCGGTGGTCAAAATGCAAAATCCGCTATTTTAGAGGGTGCGTTTAAGAATTTGAAACGCACTGTATTCCTTTATTTTTCTGACTATGAGAGAAAGTTTTCTCAAAGCAATCAAGCAATCTCAAAGCACATTTGATGTTGTGAGGCAATACAGAATTGAGTGATTATGTCAGAAAGTACCGTATTCTCTCTAATAGTAGTGCACCCTGGCGAGCCGAGTTCATGACTGTTTTACGGTTTCCAAGTTTTCCCAGAAGCTCAACACTCTAATCCCCAAAAGATCTCATCGTCAGCTACGTTTTCCGACCCCACATCGATAGGTTCTGATAAGTAGTTCTCGAGATTTCGAGCAATTTAGGCGACGCTCATGGTGCACTACTATTAGAGAAAATACGGTATGCATAATACTGTAATAGAAAGGATAATTTTTATGCAAATTTTAGATGGACGACTGACGACGTACGTCGTTGGTTGCTCAACAAGGGCTTCGAGAAATATTCTCGTTTAATAGCTGATGAACATCAGGTAAAAAGAACTGATAGCACTACTTTGTAAAGCTATTCGTAGATTTATTGTAATCTGTCAGTTTCTTTGCAGATTTGATTATAAACAAAGAAGGTATTCAAAAGAGTAACCCTCAAAGGAATTATGATGAAAATCTTGTAGCAAGCAAGCCCAAATTTCATTTGAAAATACTTTAAAGACTCCAAAAGCCCATAATGATGGGCGTACAATCGCGTAGTCTAACTTTGAATGTCCCGTTCTCCGCACTGGCTTAGGCTACAGTGTATGCGATAGGGTATCAAATTATAGCTCTTAAAATCTAGTATTTTTTGATACCAAAAGCGTAGTTGGGCAAGATCTAGAAACTCGGGAAAATCTAGGGAAAAGTTTTCGAAGCTGATTTTCTAAAAAAAGCTAGACTATACAAATTATACGAGAGATGACGTTTTATTAAAGTATTTATAGTATGTACATGATCAATTGACATTCTTGTACATGAATCTAACTTTCAGATCGATGGGAAAATCCTACTCCTTTTGACGGAGGATGATCTCCGAGAGAAGCCCCTTCAGATCACATGTTTGGGAGATATTAAACGACTGGGATTGGAAATAGCTCAATTGAGAGTGTAAGTTGATAAAGTTTCCAACTGTTCTTTGTACTTAAAGATAGAAACACAATTTTTTCTCGCATACTCTAATAGTTTTACTTTAATAGAAATTGAGTGCACCGGAATGGTGATGTGTTTAGGTTTTGAGCCAATATTTTCCAATATATCTCAATATAAAACGATATTTATTATCTTAAAACTCTTTAGCGCTATAATTCCGGAAATATTGACTCAAAGAAGTCTGAAGACGTGTTGTTATGTGTTGATTATGAGTCGACCAAAGAAATCGAGGTCGCCGGCAAGAGTGTTCCGATTAAAACGATAGAAACGGCTGTGATCACGTGAGTTGCACAAGTTTTGATTAAAAATCACTATTATTTGAATATACTTAACTTAAAAAGCACTTTTGATTAGATCTTTCACTACAAACTACAAACGCGCATAACTTGCTTCTCATAAATCCTTTTCAGATATTTTTTTACCAGAATGTAGAAAAGAAATCTCTTTCAAATTGTATATAAAGCTCTAAGAGACATTAACAAGCACATCGTAAAAACTTCAAAATGTTTAGCGACTATGACTCGAGGAATCGGACCAGTTGTAGTTTGCGACATTTTAAAAGTTTTTACGATATGTCTATGTCTCTTAGAGCTTGCGCCTACGACTTGAAGAGATTTCTTTCTCTACATTCTGGTAAATATCGGAAAAGGAGTCATGACGCGTTATGCGCATTACTCGGCAGTTCATCATTTTTGTTTGTATCGTTCAGGTCGACTGTTATGGTTTTGGTTTCCTTAAAAATTAGGATAAAAGCACAAGGTCTTTTCGGTTAAATAGCGATAGAGAAGCCAACTTTTTGTAAAAACTTTAAAAACAAATTTGGCTTAACCAAATTGATTGTTTTCAAAACTAAACTACTAAAATAACTTTCTATCTTATCCAAATAAAATTTAGATAATTTTTGCAAGCTTTACAAGTTTATTTGAAATTTGAATGCATTTTTAGATTACTGAAAGGCTAGATTTTCCATTGTTTTATAAATTTCATTTCAATTACTTTTAAATTTTTATAAATTTTTGTACTTAGAGGTTTATGAAGTCCGCGGTCTTGATACTGCATGGATTGCATGAGGTCACGCAAAAAATTACATCCTATTGCACATAGGCGATATCTTTGCATGAAACCCATTGTCTGGTTGAGTGACAGAAGGGAACCCAGAAAATGGCTCAGGCTCAGGCTCAGGCTCAGGATTGGACTTAGTGCAAAGGCTAGCACGGCTAGCGCCTTGCACTAAGTTTATTTGGGCTTGGGCTAGCCCCATTTCCTGGATCATTACCAGTTCCTAGAGTTCGGTTTAGGCTTGCTAACATAATCACATAATATTAAGACCGCAGGGCTTATAATCCCCTAAATATAGCTCAGGTACTAGTATCTTTTTTCTATGTCAGATTTTTCTCATAAATTTCTTTTCAGAGATGAATCCTTAGCGGACACCACTGCCAACGGTTGGTGATGTGCATGGGGGATTCATCTGATTTCTAAGAGAGGAGTTGATACGATCTGTTGAGGATTGAGTATTATGAAAGTTAACCAAACAATTAAAAATAAAATTAAAATTGAAGAAGAAGCTGGGAATTGTATACAAGTTTTGATAAATGTAAAACACTATTATAACTATTGAAAACCAATGTGAGTACAGAGTATTCCAAAGTTTGAGCACAAGTATTTTTGTTTGCTAAAATCAGCTAGAAGCAACCAATTAAGCAGAAATTTTGTAGCAAAAACTCATTGAGAACTCTATAAGTAAAATATAAAAGTTTGAAGATTGTAGGGCGAGGCTCAGTAAGATTATTTGCAAGATTCTAGCGCCAGAATTTAAGTCTCAACACTTATGCATAACTTTTGCTTGGTGCTCCTAAGTTCTGAAACCATGTAAAACAATCTTCAAACTTTGAAATATTTTATTTATGAGTATTCTCTCAAATCTTTAATGCAAATTTTCTGGCTAATCGTTGGGCCTAACGGGTTTTACAAGCAAAAATAGGTCTTAAGAAACTACAAGGAACACCCGGTAACTTCCAAGAATGGTCTAATTAACAGAATTTTTGAGTATGATTTAAGTCTAAAGTCCTAAGGAGTATAACTTAAGCCAGAACCTTTGAAAGATTTTTTAAAAATAATCTTTTAAGTCACCCGACTTACCGCTTTCAAGAAGTTTCGCCAAATTGGTGATAGCTTTTTTCTCTACTGCTCAATGGCACTTCTCTTCACCTCTTTTGTGATGGTTGTATAATTGTACGATCGGAGTGCCAGGTTTGTTCATTGAAACCGGAAATTGTTATCGAGTTGGACACGCCGGTTCTTTTTATGAGTTGGGGGTGGGAATACAAAACTTGGTGGTCGGTGCCGGGAATCGAGTACTTTGACCTATCGCTTACCGGGCAGGAAGCTCTACAGCCAATGAGCTACACAGACACGTATCTCATTGACTTGTGTATGAGGTAGGGCCTTGTGCACTTACTATCTCAGAGCTACTATCCGGTGTAATCATTGAATCTAGCTGGTTGAAATAATCTTTCACCTATATCCACTTTCAGGCGCTGAAGATGTACCCACCACTGCCGGACATCGTTTTGGACGATTTGCCTCTTATCGCCAGGGCTTTGGAGATGTGTGAGGTGATCAGGATGATTCTATCGACGGTTTGGTTCACCGTTTTGTTCTTCCCACAAACACAGGTCAGTCATAAAAATAGATCATGACAAGATCAAGAATCAAACACGTCGGTAAAATCAAAGAAAGTAGTGACACAGCTAGAATCTAAAACAGTAAGTATCAAAAACTATTTTCCCCTGTATTATTTGTGTGCTTTTCCTCACTAGATGTGGCTAGAGTTGTGAGCTTTTGATTGAATGAAAAACAAAAACCAAGTTTATTCAATAAACATGGAGTAAAAGCGTGTGAAAATGTTTTTAAAAGCGCAAAGAAACAATGTGTTTACCCAAAGACAAAAAGAATAACTTTGATGAAGAAATTGGAAGCATCTAGAGACAAAAAGGATTCAACTTTCACAAAGACAAAATGAAAGAGTGCAATCTAAGATGGGGGAAAGCGCGGTCTTCTATACGCTTTTGAGCTCGTCATTATTTAGGGTATAGTATTTCTGGTGTCATATTAGACTGCGGCAGTTTTTGGTGACCTCGTCACAGTAAGATTCAAAGTCATTTTTCAGAATAGTTGTCGCTCGACGAATGTTCTCGATGGTCAGCTCAGTGTTCTTGTTGAGATGTATCACCATGTTGATCACTTCATTATCCGTTCCGAGTGTTCATTTGGAGTGTCGAGCAAAGTAAGTTGTTAATATATGATACTGCATATATATACAGAAGTTTCCCAAAAATTTCTTATACGTTTTCTGTAATGCGGTGATTTTTAGTTTGAAAAACACATGAATTTCGGAAAACTAACACCGGTTTCTAAAAGTTCAGGTATTCCTTTACTAGAATATGCCATTTTCATAAATAAAGATTTCAACTCTTAACAACTTTTTCACTTGGATTTTTACATCCGGATCTGGTCGGGATTTTTGCGAAAGCTTGACTTAAACTTTAGAGAATGAAATTTATTTTAAAAAAACTATTGTTATCATTTAATAGAGGACCAGTTTCCCTCTCAAAACAAATCTACTGAAACAAAATTTATATCCCCAAAAATGAAAGATTTCCAAGCGATTCGACAAAGGGTACTCAAATCTCAAAAGCAAAAAAGCCACCTTTAAACATTCTCATCAAAAGATTTGTTTAGAGTTGCAAGTTTTATGCAAAATGAAGTAGAGTAAAAATATCTAAATTTTCCTAATCCGGCATTAGTTTTCATAAATGGCGTGTTTTCCGAGTGAAACTGTTCGTTTACAAAAAAGATACCAAGAGCTTTTGGGGCAACCCGTAGTGTTGCGCTCTCTAAAAAAGGATGATTTTCTCAAAACCAAAAATTACAGATTTTTTGTTTAGATTTTTAAAATCCTATGGACATTTTACTAAATTCACTTAATTTTTATGTGAAAAGAATTTGATTTGTTTCGACTTTAAATTTGATTTGTATCGAAACTTTAAACATCAAAAAAAAAATGAAATTTTTCAAAAATGTGCTTATTTTTGTTAGCCAAGATAATCTCGCATATTGCAATTTGCTCAAAAAGCACTACTTTTATCGTAATTAACAAAAAAACCTATGCAGAAAAAGACGGTTTTAGAGACCCAAAACTCTAAGAGTGAACTGTTTTTCAGCATCGTGTTGCATAGAATTTTTTGTACTGCTTTGCTAGGGTTGTCAAAATTCATTAAAGATCTTACAATTCTTCTATTCTATGTCCAAAGTACGCATAGATTTCATGACTAATTTTTGTTTTTAGCTTAGTTTAATGTATGTATTCAGAAAGCCAAAAACGATGAATTAAGCGCAACACTTTGGCATATGCCGAACCCTATAAAGATCATCATGCTACTACTACAGACTACTTAAGTACATTGGAATGCTGTATTGTCTTCCTTCGCTACAATTACCTTTAGCAGTCTAAGTCCTTCTTAGGATGTTCAAAAATCTTCTTAGGATTGCTTAAAAGTCTTATTCTTTAGGGACATGGCTCGATTTGGGAGAAAGTGTGGGAAGCGTATCACATTTGGTCACGATTGGGAATGTCAATTCGGAGATACGAGGAGCTGAGAGAATAGAACAATTACAATTTTGTTTTGCTGTGTTACAACTATATAGATTCTTTGCAAGTTCAAGACCGTTTTCTAGCTCTCGTTTACGTTTTTGGCAGCCCGTGATTGATCGTTTCAGGGAGTCAGAACATGTGGAGACTACATGTTTGGCGGTGACACACCACAGCAATCACTTTGCTCAACCATTTCATCACTGGTTGTGGGTGAAAGTAAAGATATTATAGAAAACGAGGGTTTTTAGATACACCGTCATCTTGGGTCTTGCTTCACACATTGAAGCTTGGGTGCTCTAAAACTTTTTCGGGATTTTCTTTAATTTCTCGCTGGTCATGCCCAGGCACTACTCGATCGATGTTTTCATTGCGTTTTACATATCATCAAGGTAAATTTCCAGTTCAAGAGCGATAATCTTTTGAATTTTTAGAATATTCTTGTCACTATCATGCTTACGCTTACAATCATGTGGAATTTGACGGCCACTGATAACAGAATTGTGTTGTGGTTCCAACTGGGAGTGGTTTTCGAGGAGGCTGGATCAAAGGGAAAAGTGGAGTTTTACATGAATCTATCATGACGCTTGCAAATCGAAAAACAACTTTTTCAGCTCAACAGCGAGTACGCTTTCCCTATTTCATTTCACTTTCGGTCGTCGATCAGAAGTCACTGCCAAATGAACCCACAAATGGAACGTTGAAAAGGAGCACTCGAAAGAGAATGGGATTCAGAAGAATGACACAAAAGTAGGTTCTAGTAGGAAACTGAGTGGAAAATTGATGATATCATGATTAAGAAAAAGCAACACTTGTCTCTGGATTTTACAGTCGTGGACAAGAGTCTTTTAACGTTGGTTTTTAGAAGTTTGTTCTTCATTATATCTTGATCAAGTATCCGAAATAATAACCCAAAGACAAACAGTTCAAAGAATTTAAAGGAGTTTATTATCTCTAATTTTAACATTTTACAAAAGATGGATTTGACAATTT